TATTCCAATGGGATAATATGTCAGCAGAGTTTTGACACTTTGAAGACAAAGGTTGACTGAAGCACCAGTGTTGACTCAAGCCGTGTCAGGTAAAGAACCTTTGAGATTTACAGTTTTGATGCCTCTATATTGGGTTAGGATGTGTTAGTTAGGATGTGTACTCATGTAAGACAGGAAAGTGGTAGCTTATGTCTCCAGACAATTGAAGCCACATGAATTGAATTATCCAACCCATGATTTAGAATTAGCAGCCCTTGTCCTAGCATTCAAAGTATGGCGGCATTATCTGTACGGTGAAAAGTGTTACATTTACACAGATCATCAGAGTTTAAAGTATTTACCGACTCAAAAGGACTTGAATTCGAGACAACGGAAATGGATGCAGCTTTTGGCTAATTATGATTATGTCATTAATTACCATCCGGGCAAAGCTAATGTGGCAGCTGATGCCCTTAGCCGCAAATCATTGTTTTGCTTTGAGAGCAATGGAGGAATTTAGCATGGAGTCTTGCAACAACAGGGAGTTATTCAGCACAGATGCAAGTACAGCCATCTTGGGTGTTCAAGGAGTTGCAGAGGCACAGAAGAAGATGCCACAAACAGCACTTATGGGGTGAAACAAGTACAGGAAGATCATGGTGGGAAATTCAGATTGGAAACAGTGGAGTCTTATTCTATGAAGACAGAAGGTTGTTTACCACAGATAGGGGACCTTAGACAAAAGATTCTGCTGAAGCTCATAACAGTCCATATGCAATGCATCCAGTAGTACCAAGATATATCAAGATTTGAAGAAAAGGCCTATTGGTGGCCGAGGCATGAAGAAAGATATCGGAAATGTTGTAAACAATATGTTTAACATTCAACAAGCTAAAAGCAGAACATCAACTGCCAGCTGGGTTACTTCATCCAATAACAGTGCCAACATGGAAGTGGGATCAGATTCACGATGGATTTTGTTTGCTGGATTACCCTCAGACGCAAGCGGAAGCATGATCAGTATGGGTTGATCAGTGGACAGATTAAACTTAAGTCCGCCACCACTTATCTACCGTTCGGATGGACTATTTTCTCTGACCAAGTTAGGCAGACATGTAAGTTAGCGAATAGTTCGACTTACATGGAGTTCCATCATCCATTTATATCTGACCGTGATCCCAAGGTTACATCGATATTTGGGGTAAACTGCAGGAAAGCAATTTAGGGGAAAACCGGGGGGGAAAAATTTGGCATCAGCCACTGCATTTCATCCTCCAAACAGAGTCCATATCAGAGAGAGTCATCAACAAAGATCATGATAGATCCTAATTATAATTGAAGGCAGTTGGGGACAAATATGTACCTCTCATGGATTGCCCTACAACAACAGCTTGACAATCGAGCATTAAGATGGCACCATTATGAAGCATGTATGGTAGACCATGTAGAACACCTGTGTGATTGGACAAAGAAATGAAGTGAGAAAGAAGATTTTGGAGTCTAGATTTGGTTAGAGAACAGAAGAGGATAATGGGAATCATCAGAACGGTCTGAAAAGAAGCAATGACGACAGAGAAGTCAGCGTAAAAGAAAAGGAAGTGTTGAGTACCGTCGTGAAAGACGAAAGCACCTAGGAAAAAAGATCCTAAGGTTTTGGACGAAAGGGGTAAGCTTAGCCCTAGGTTCATTGGTCCATACGAGATTTGTTGAACGTTATGAGGACCATGGCCTACCGCCTAGCGTTACCTTTCAAACCTTAGATCGAATTCATAAGTCTTTCATGTACAAGAAGGAGTACGATCAGCCCATGACGTGTTGTCCAGAGAAGAGATTGAACAGCCGGACCACAGAATGAAAAACCAGTTCAGATCCTCAGCCAGAGAATTAAAGAATTACGAACAAAAAGCCATTGGGTAAAAGTTCTTTGGAGGAATTCATTAAGACAGAAAAGCACTGGTATATCTGAAGACACCATGCGACAACAGTATCCGCCATTTGTCACACAGGCTAAACTTGGGACCGAAGTTTTTATTTAGGAGGGAGAATTGGACACCACCGAGTCGATCTTAGCACTGATCGAGTTCATTCGGTTGGGGTAGAATGGGTTTATAAGTGGAGTTACTTGATTGAGAGAAAAAGATCAAAGCATATGGGTGAGGATTGATTTGCATTAAAAGATCGAGCTTGGGTATTAAGTGATAGCCTTTTTCCAATTGAGGTACCATTTAGTAAGTTTTACATAAAATCCTTGATATTGTGATGGCCTACCCGTGATTATCACTTCACTTTCCCATTTTAATGTTTATCTTCATCTTCTTCCTTTCTTCCTTTCTCCATCCATTTTCATAGTAGTTTAAGACAACCTCAATTTTCTCCAAGTAAGTAAAATTATTAACCTCTAAGTGAAAGCTATAATTGTAGATAAGTTATAAGGATTCTGATGTTAAGGAAGAGGGGAGTTCAAATGATTGTAAGGAAAAAGGGAAGTATAGAGGAGCTCAAGCCTTTTTGGAGTAAAGGTATATCCTCATACCGTTTTCTTTGCATGAGAATTTGCGGGCAATGAGACAATTATTGCTTCATGAGGAGACTGGTAATTGGTGAGAACAGGTAAACAGGGAGGTATTGAATTAAATGAGAAAAAGGAGAGCGAAACAGGCTTGCGGAATTTACCAGTAACTTCATCTTGATTTTGACCCCATTTAATGATGGAATTAGGAAGTGTTATAGAAGAGTTATTTGCTTCCTCTTATGCTGTTAGCTTTACATGGGTTTTTGAATCATTCAAATCGAATTTGTATATTGAGAGATAATGATCAAAAGAGTATAGGACTGTGCAGGCTGGAAGACGCGGACGCGGCATGCGCGCGAAATTGCATGACAGGCTCGCAGTCTGCCCTCCGCTCGGAATGAAACTACTGCGGCTCGCGACTTATCACTGAAACTTCTCTTGACTCTCATGGCAACTTCTCGTGCTCGAACACTTTCAAGTGCGCCGTCCGACCCGCCTGTATACCTCCACCTTCATCGCGCTCGTCGCGAATGGCCTGGAACTCACTGTCCCAGCCACTTCTCGCGCTCCGAACTTTCAAAGACCGCTACGTGACTGTGCCCATAACTCCTACCTGTTCTCTCATCTTTGGTGCTTTACGCGCTCGCGACCTGCTTTACGCGCTCGCGACTTGTGTTTTCATGCATTTTTGGACTTCTTTTTCAATGCAATTGTATTCCTTTGCTTTACTTATATGCCTCCAATCATTTTAACATCAAATACAACATGAGAACATGGATCAAAACAACATGCAAGCATGCAAATGATGTGAAATCAAATAAACATTATAAACATTATGAGTTATGAACTATGAATATGATGTTGTGTTATATTATTGACATACCAACATTATGCTCCATTAAGGTTAGGTAGAAATCATGTAGATAAGGCTATGTCGCGACATAGGATAGCAGATCTGCACCTCATACAGTTTGATACTCCGGCTACAGGCCGTTACTTAAGACAGCACTTAATTCGCAGCACGGGCGTACTGTACGGCAAGGTCGGGGCATGCCAGAGCCTGAGTTCTAAGGATGGTTCAGCACGGGTCGTGCTCAACAGCACGTCTAGAGAAGAATCTGTGGCACGGGCGTGCCCCATAGCACGGCTAGGGCGTGCTAGGCTCTGAGTCTCTAGGATGAAATGCATCGCCTAAGCGCACCTTTGTGTTGATGTCCTCTTTAGGCACGGGTGTGCCAGATAGCACGGTCAGGGCGTGCTAGAGTCTGAGTCTCCACTTGATTTTCCTTGAGTCCAGTACGGGCGTGCTCAGCGAGTTACCTGTTTAACTCGCAGGTTTTGAGTTTGGACCGTAGAGAGTCAGCTTACAACTGCTGCAGTTCATCTGTAGAAGACTCAGTCTTACTCATTCGGATGTGTATTTTTTGTCTACCCTTTTTATGGCATGTACAGGCACACAGCTGGAACCCATTTCATTTGAAACTAGTATCATGTTTTGTAAAATTAATTACATTATTAATGTAGACAGCATCAGCATTTGATATAATAGTCAGTATCCATTTATGATATCAGCATGATAAGACATTAAAGTCAACCAGTTTGTAACGTCTTCGACTCGGTTATTAGGGTTTACGGTGGACCGCGGAAGGGATTGGCATCAGCATGATATAATAGTCAGTATCCATTATGATATCAGCATGATAAGACATAAAGTCAACCAGTTTGTAACGTCTCGACTCGGTTTATTAGGGTTTACGGGTGGACCGGGAAGGGATGTTACAATAAATATAAGGAAAATTTTTTTATTTATAGATATGTACTTATATTACTCAATTTATATTACTTCTGTAATTTATATGTATTTATAAAGTGTAATACAAACATCTATATTTAAAATTGGGACAAGTGATCATGTAAAGGTATGACATTTTTGGAAAAATTGGATTGGAAATGGTCATAGATGTAATTTTAAAATTAATATAGATAGGAGGTTTTTGAATCAATTCAATTCTAACTTTTACTGGTTTTCAAAAAGTAAAGAATTAAAATGGATTATGAATCAAAATCTACTAATTTCTTAGATTAAAAGATTGAAAACTATGAAATCAATTAAGTTTGAGTCAATTTTAATTCCAAATTTGAAACATGAATGACTCGAAATTTCATAAATTGAATGACTCTAAGTGTCTCAAAATGACTTAAAATTATTATTAACGAACTGAGAATGAAACATTATCTTAATGGAGTGAGGCAAAATTATGATTATCATTTTTTTTTTTACAATAAAAAGGAAAGTAACAATCTTAGAAGGGAAAAAGAAAAATAAAAAGAACAGAAAATAGTAAAAGGTCTCTATTTTATTTTATTTTTTCCTTCTAAAAATGATTATCAAAACAATGCGATATTTTTGTGAGACTTTTCAAAAAAAAAAGAAACAAAGAAAAAAACTTCGGAAAAAAAAAGAAAGGAAAAGGTAAAAACTTTACCCTCTAAACCAACTGTTGTATAATTATTCTGCTCTGCACCAACGACGCAGCAGCAGTTTCCTTGCGTTTGCTTTTCACCAACACTGCGCAAACTGACACACAGATATTGAGAGAGAGAGAGAGAGAGAGAGAGAGAAATTGATATGTTTTTTTTTTGTTGCAAGAAATTTTATTTTCATATTTTGGATAAAGCTTAAAGAACCAAACACCACCACCACCTACTCTCCTACCCCCTCTCTCTCCCTCTACAACCACCTGCATAGGATCTCAACTTCATGCCTCTCTGTGTCTATTACGCGTGTGTTTGTGTATTAATTCTCTTTTAAAGGAAGCAATTGTCTTCAAGCCTTCAAGAAGATACTCCAAGTTCTGATCTTTTTTCATCAATTTTCTCCTTCTGGTGTGGCAAAATGCCAACTGCACATGCTACCCATTTTAATACAAACCACCATTTTAGAGGTAGCAGCAGTGATATGTCATTCCCGGGTGAGGTTGGTGCTGATATGGACTCTTCAGTGTCAGATTGCTTGTCAGAGGTGGATTTGGAGAGTGGGGTTTTGGAGGGGAAGATGCATTTGGGTGATAAAAATGAGAGAGATTGTAGAATTTGCCATTTGGGTTTAGAGAGTGTTGAGCAAGAGAATGGAGTGGCTATTGAGTTAGGGTGTTCTTGTAAGGGTGATTTGGGTGCTGCACATAAGAAGTGTGCAGAGACTTGGTTCAAGATCAAGGGTAACACGTGAGTAAAGAATTCAGCTTTTTCTTTGTTGTGTAAGATTTTTTTTTTTTCCTTTTTGGTTATATGCGTTAATATGCATTCTCACAATTTGTATCCTTTCTTCTGTTATTGCTTTGTTGAAGTTTGATTTTCTGCTACATTTTACTTGTTTGTTAATAACTATGGATACCTTTTTCCTGGGTTTTGGAGATTTGAGGAATTTTTGTACCAATTTGTTGGATCCAGCTCCTAGGAGACCTGAAATGTTTGAAAATTGAGACGGAATCATGAGATTCTAGTTGATTATATTTGTCTGATTCGTACTGTTAGCCTGTGAGCACACTTCTTTCCACTTCTGTGTCTTTTTTTTTCTCTTTTGCCATACCCAAATTAATTACAGGCGAAACCTCCAACAAAGGAGCATGGCTCAAAATATTTGGGTTGTTTTTGGAAATATTACTTTCTTTGGATGGATACTCCATTTTAGCTTTTTCTTTAATCCAAGTTCAATAAAAAGATGAGGGTTTCATTTTGCTCCTTGGCATAGATTTAAGCTCTAAGCAAAAATTGGTTTACTTAAATTGGCTAAAAGAAGCACAGTACAATGTTTAGGTTGTATTTTGACATATTACTATCTTTGGATTATTAATTTAATATTTTTTTTATCTTTAATTCAGTTTAATAAAAAGATAAGATTTCATTTTGCTCCTTGTCATAAATTCAAGCTCAAAACAGAAATTAGGTTACTTTAAGTTGGCTAATATGTTTCTAATAACTTACCTATAAGTTTCGTTATTAATGGCATATAAGCATATCCAGATTCTGAATGTATAACATTTTTTCTACCTATCCTGCTTGTAGTGATTGTTAGCTCTTGTTCCTGTCATGTGTTGGTGATGGTTGTCTTTATTCTTTTGCCTCTTTATGAGCTGGATGAATCAGGTAGAACAGAACTGTTCAGTTGAAAGCAAAACAGTAATGAATTAGAAATGGCAAATATGGTGGTCACCACCACCTTCCTCAAGTAAAACACTGAACATAGGTTACATTTTATAAAAATACAAAGTTATTTGAGAGATGTGGGGTCTATTGTCTAGCTTATATGCTTGTCTTTTTGTTCTACGATTGACTCTGGATAGTAGACATGTGCTTGTCTGAACATTTGCAAATAATCTACTACTGAAGTGCTGCTACTATGGGTGCCTGGAAGTAATTATCCTCTTCAGTTCATTGTCTATTCTTGCGTATAGTGAACCAGTAATATTTGTTTGTCTTCTGTAGTTATCTTATGTGGCAAGTTGTCCTTGCTTCATGGATCTCTCACACCCTTTAATTATTGTACTCCTTGGGCTTGGTGAATTGTGGATTATTGATGGAAACGAGCTTACTACTGAAATAGAATCATTTAACTTACCTCACTGGGTTTAACCACTAATGAGCTCAAGATTGTTCTGTGATTCCTCATGTTTGAACTCATGATCAGGAGTACTGTTTACAAGTAGGAAATAGGCTAGAAGTTTTTCAGCATATAATAATGACAGATTTCTTCAAACCAGGTGGTGTCATTTCATTCAAAATCTTCTTAGTTAGTCATGCCATGTGTGGTTATTTTTAATTACTACATAGAACACAACTAAAGAACATACTTTGCTGGAAACTCTTACTACATAGAACACAACTAGAGAACATACTGTGTTGGAAACTCATATCTACTGACTCAATTTAGTTCATTGTATTCAAAATTATGTGCTCTCGAGGAGCCGGTCTATAATTGCTTTTCATTTTCTATGTTGGTCAATATCATGTATTGTTCATCCATTTCTTTTCTTTGGGAATTTCAACCCTGCCACTGTGGTTATAAAGGAGATCTTTAGTAGTTGGCTGCTTCTTAGCATGGTTTATCATTATCAAAAAGCGTCAGAATTTTCCTCCCTGTTCCTTTCTTATTCGTCTTTTTCTCTTTGTTGATATTATATTTCTTCATTATCATATCGCACTGCCCTGGTTATTATACAAAAGAGTCACAAGGTATGTCTACTTTCCAAATGATTCAAGCATTTCGAGCAACATGTTGTTTAGCAGAGATGATTTAATATGGAAATTTGGGTTAATCTTAGGGAATGGGTACTATACCATCTGGACAAAAAAAAAAAAAAAAAAAAAAAAAAGGAATGGAGGTACTATACCATCTGACAAAAAAAAAAAAAAAAAAAAAAAAAAAAAAATTCCAAAAAAAAAAAAAAAAAAAAAAAAAAATCAAGAAAACGATGATGCTTGAGGAGATGGAAGATGGTGTGGTTAGTGTCCCTTGTATAAACATACCAATTAGAGAGGATTGTTCACAAAGTTTAGTTGTACCTTCGTTCTTTTCATTTTTTTCCCTCTTCTTTTGGTTCATAGTATCGTATGTTCTAGAAGCGAAAAACATCACTGTATGACTAAATGGTGTATTGGCTTGATCATGCATTCACGAATTAGCCCAAGTAGCTGCTAACTCTTTCTATTTCAAATTCCAAGGTTCTGTTCGTATGCTTTAGTAAATTGAATGGATGTTGTTCAAACATCGAGACTTGCTTACAACTTGCTGCTATTCCGTCAACTTTTGCAATTTATGATTTTCTGCCTAATGCTCCATGCTCAAGTTTTTCTTTGCAAAATTGCAGAATATGTGAGATTTGCAGTGCCATCCTTCCTATCCTCAGCCATAACCTCCTATTTCTTGCTTAGAGGTTGTTTTGGTGCCTTTTTCCTTCCTATCCTCAGCCATAACCTCCTATTTCTTGCTTAGAGGTTGTTTTGGTGCCTTTTTCCTTCCTATCCTCAGCCATAACCTCCTATTTCTTGCTTAGAGGTTGTTTTGGTGCCTTTTTCCTTCCTATCCTCAGCCATAACCTCCTATTTCTTGCTTAGAGGTTGTTTTGGTGCCTTTTTCCTTCCTATCCTCAGCCATAACCTCCTATTTCTTGCTTAGAGGTTGTTTTGGTGCCTTTTTCCTTCCTATCCTCAGCCATAACCTCCTATTTCTTGCTTAGAGGTTGTTTTGGTGCCTTTTTCCTTCCTATCCTCAGCCATAACCTCCTATTTCTTGCTTAGAGGTTGTTTTGGTGCCTTTTTCCTTCCTATCCTCAGCCATAACCTCCTATTTCTTGCTTAGAGGTTGTTTTGGTGCCTTTTTCCTTCCTATCCTCAGCCATAACCTCCTATTTCTTGCTTAGAGGCGGTACGGCATTAGCATATTTCACGTGTACATGCAAAAGCTTCTGTGCATTTTGTACTACATGATCATGTCTAAGTTCTGGTTTCTTCTATGTAAAATTGTTGAAACGCCCTCGCTTTGGAAGAAAAAGAAGTCTTTCAATTGGGTTTCAGAACTCATCTCTGTGAAGCTTTTTGAAATCAGTTTGGCCATTTCGTATCCGGACAGAACAAAGGATTCTCATTTCCTTTGGAAAAACTTGGGCATTAGGATTCTAATTTCCTTGGGAAAAACTTGCGATGCCCAAAAGCGATTCAACATTTGCTTTCCTGCAGTCTAAAATGTTTCCCTGACTAGTCCCTGCATACGCTTGTAATTGTACAGAAATTTAACGTTTCAAATTAGATATGCAGGCGCCGGTATTATAATTTGTATTGACAAGTAAATTAAAATTTCATGCCTTATTGCTTGCGAGATGATCGGCTCTGTTTAAGTATGATCATAAGACTTGATAATGAAATTTATATTTAACAGTCGAAGATATGTGCTTATCAAACAAGATTAAGTATATCATTCTGATGAAAAGGGGACAACTACATAGTAACTGCATCCGATTGCACCTGCAAATAACTCGTATGCCAGTATACAAGAGAGGTCAATTTCAATTACTTTGTTTCCATTTCTATGGGATTGTTTTTCTTATAATCAGAAACAGCCTTGTCAAAAGTACTCCTAACTTGCCGGCACAACAACATCAAATTCTGGCATCCATCTTTCAATACCTCTCTCGCTGGATCACCTGAAAATTTCCATTCAAATAATTGAAAATAGTAAAGGCAAATATCCCAAAGTTGCAGTGGATGCATAGTTAGTAGTTAATGCCTTTCATAAGGATTCACATGGAATACTAGAAAATGAAGAACATACTGCAAGTAACCGTGATTTCTTAGGTGATTTACAAAGCTAAGCACGAAAAGAAAAAGAAAAATAAAATCAGACTTGTTCTAATTCATACAAATAAACGAACTAGATGTATGCAGTTATTAAAACCTATCTAAAAAAAAAAGTATGCATAAATGCATATACCTTTAATTGGTTATACACAAAGCTAAAAAAGTAAAAAGAAAAATTCAAATTAAAGATGTATCATACTCGGATCATATATGCCTTTACCATCTTAGCTGTTCTGTCAAGGCTAGTATGTGTTTAAATAGGTTGCAAATTATAGTTTAAGAAGATGATGCAAGTTTCCAAGAACAGTACATATTTTGAGCTAATAGCAAGATTCCAAAAGCTATGGTAATTACAAAACAAGGAGCAAACACAGGCTAATATGCTCGACACAATTGATTCACATGGACGGGTAGATCTTTCAGCTAATCCAGAAAAAATTGGCATTAAACCTTAAGTTGAAAACCCACTAATTCAGCTACAATAAATATCAACTAACACAAATAAAGAAAACAGGTATATGCAGTCACTAATCATTACCTTAACAAAAGTAAGCAAAGTAGGTGCATATGTTACCTGTTGTTTGGACTCTAATATTAACTCGAGCATCTGAAGGATGCGGAATGCTGTATCCACAGAATGAAACCCTTGGACTGCAAAAAAAATATTATAATGTGCTTAAAACATTGTTAAACAAAATATTTTACAGGAATTAGTATTGCCAATACCATTCAGGGAAGAAAAAACAACAAATGAATACTCCTTTCTTGCTCAATTCAGCTGTTGTTTTGACACAAGCCAGAACATCATGGGTTCTAATGTAATCCATCTATATTGACATGAACTGGATATTTTTTGGTCTAGTTGCTCAAAAACATGAAATTTCAATATTCTATCAGAAAAGGAGTAGAATTGGGGGTATCCACCAATTTTATTTTTCAGTCACAACCTACCATTGTTACCCATTTGAATAATCACAAAAAGATTCTAAAAATAAAAAACTTTAATAACCCATTTCAAACAACAAGAAGAAGATTTGAACCATACAAAATATAACCAAAGGCAAACATAAGAGTAAAAAAGATTGGATGACTGACTCTTGATTCAAGGTGAATCTAACAGAATTTGCAAGAGTGTGATCTTCATCAACGAAAGAAAACGTTGCTTTGCTTGGATCCTGTGCAGAACCGTGCTCCATTGCTTCTAGTTACTCTGCAAGCAAACAAAATGAATTTTAAAAGAATCATTCAAACCTAGAAAGACAAAGGAAGGCCTATCAGGGTTCTTACCGAGAAGTGAGAGATGGTGTGTAAAAGAGAATTTGAGGATGAATGGAAAGATAAACCCCTCAAAATCCAAAAACCCTAAACCCGCAGTAGTCTGTTCTAAATTTTTAATGGTTTGCTCTCTGAATTTCAGTGGGGATAGAATCGTCATTTAGACCAATTAAAAATATTTATTATTGATTCGTGACCTATTCTGATTGGCTATTCATAAGGCTTGCGTAACAGGCATGTGACTTGCGTAACTGGCATCTTTAGTCTTTACTTCATTTCCTAAAACCCTAAATCGTGCCTCTCTTTTTTTGAATTCTATTAGGTTTCAAGTCCCATTTTTTTCTTTATCAAACTGTCTTTGGAGTTCACATAACACCGGTGAGATATAATTCTTTGGCAGTTCTTGTGTCTCTGATATTAAAGATGATCGCTTTGATAGATTTTTAAAGTAGCTCTTTGTTATTTCAGGGTATAATGGCTGCTAATAATGATCTACCTCCTGGTATCGACAAAGAGCAGGTGGGTATTTCTCCTTGACTGATTTGAGTTTTCATATCATTTGAATTTAAAGGATGAAGTAGAATAGCATCTCATTGGGGCATTGGGTTTTGATTATTTTACTATAATCAATGGCTGTGGTTACATATTTGTTTAATCGTACAGATTTTAGTAGAAAAACTTTGCTTTCAGTAGAATTAAGTATGGGGTGATTTTGGTTTTGATTTTTTTCATTTATAGGTTTTTGGGATGCTAGCAATGGAGATGGAGTATAAGGTAGAACTGTTTAACAGGTAAACTCATGTAGTTGTAGGTATTAGAAATTGCTATTGAATGTTCGTTTGATGAATGGGGTATGCTTGGTTGATTTAATGCTCCGCAGGATAGCTATCCTCAGCCAAAATATGCCTTAGCTCTTACCAAAATTTTGTATTGCTCTTGTAAGCTTCAAGGTCGCAATATTTAACTTTCTCTGTTTCAATTGTTTATTTTTATATTAAATTCAGGCTCGCTATGGCATGTTTCAACAAGTGTGTTGACAAGAGGTGAGATAATTTTTGTTCTTTCATTTCCCTCAGTTTATAGAAACCAATCTGAAAGTGGTGTGCAAAAAGTAAAAGAAAGTACATATTTTTAAATCTCCTTCATTGTTGTACTACTTGTTTTTAGGTACAAGGAACCTGAGCTAACTATGGGTGAAAATAGTTGCATTGACCGCTGTGTTTCAAAGTATTTTCTGGTAGGCTGCTTGCCTTTGTTCATTGATTGTTTTAATTTATTATAATGCTGTATTGCGGCTAATTGGAATCGATACAATCACTATCAAACTTAGTTTTAAGAAGCCTAAAGCTTAAAACTCAATTTCAATGAAATTGAGTTTTATTTTGAATATTCAAACTCAACTCAGTTGTCATTAGAAATTCAAGTGAATTTATTGGACTTGAATTCAAATTACAGTAGGCTTAGGTGAATCTGACTTCAAAATCCTTTTATGTTTTTTTTTATTATTATTTAAAATAGCGAGCATAATAGTTTATTATTTAAGTATAATATTGAATGTATTTAGAGCATCTAAAAGTAAGGCTCCATTAGCCTTACAAGCCTCTTGAGTCAAGCCTTATAATACTCAAAAAGCTTGACTTGCTACTCAACCTCAATTTTGACTCTATAAGTCAAATATTTTGCTGAAAGTGTCAATGTATTTTGGCTTTGTTTGTGCTCCTAACATACTGTTATTCTTCAACTATATATTCAGCGATACTAGGACCTTATGTTAATCTTTTTTCTTGCGAAGAGTAGATTGCTAAAAACAGTAATGAGCCTATGAATTTATAAAATGATAAAAGCAATTATTATTATTCTTTTTTTAACGTCAACATATAATATAAGAAGAGATGAGGCAGGTAGTTCATATAATCATAAAAGGAAACCATAGCTGATTTTGTAGGGAAGAAAAATAAAAGAGGTGCGCCTTGGTGCACGCCTAAGCCCAAAAGCTCTCGCCTCATTAATGTCGCCCACCTTTCAGTGTGCTAGGCTCTAGCCTTCACGCCCTATGCCTCAGGCGCGCCTTTAATAACTATGTACTCAAGCTCAATTTTGACTCTATACCAATATTTTGGTAAAGTGTCCGTGTAGTTTGGCTTTGTTTGTGCTCCTAACATAATTTTATTCGTCAGCAATGCCAGGATGTTAATCTTTTTCTCCCAAAGAGTACATTGCTAAAAACAGTAATGAACAAATGAATTACTTCTTTTTTTGAACCTTCCGTTGGTGTTCTTCAAACCAACCCTACCTTCCCTCTGCTCCCTTTTGCCTCTTGTCCCACTCCTTTCTGACCCCTACCCCCTGTTTCATCCCTTATCTGAAAATTGTGATGAAATTGGAAGACCATAAGATTTTCATCCTCACTCCTACAACCCCCACTCTTGCCGGCTGATATAGCTTTTCTAGGCAGGAAGTATATTTTTTGGTCATTTTCCTCGTTCACCATTTGATGATCAAAAACTTGAAGATAGAAATGTGCCATTTAGTAGAAGAACATGTGACTATGCTTCAAGTTTGACAAAGTCCTGGAATGTTGATCTACTTAAATGGTGTAACTGAAGAACTTTTTCCTTTTCTTTTTTTTTTCTATTTTTGACAAATATTGTATAAAAGGGCAGTTTTTATTCACTTTTTAATTGTTCCTCTTCTTTTTGGTTCATAATTAAGAGTGAAGGTTTGGAGATGCCTATTGGTGGTTAGTAATTTGATTGGCAAGAGAAATAAGGGACATGGGTTTCTTGAATGATAAAAGCAATTAGAATGTAATATTTACCAGTATTTCAGTTGTGGGTAAAGATAAAATTGATGAAGTTAAAAGAAATTGGCTAAATATGTACCTTTTTTTTTTTTTTTTTTTCTTTCCTAATAATTAAAGCATAAAAGGAACTTTTTTTGGCTTCTTCCCTTGTTCTCAGAATAAACTTTCTGATCTGGTAATGCATTTTTTTTTTGTTAAAATTTTGGGGCTTTTGGAATCATTGTGGTTTAGCCACCTTTCTGTCATATATATATATATATTATATATATATATATTAATATATAATATTGAATTTATATTGAATTACTATATGTACAAGGTCTTTTTGTATGGTTATATGATGAAAGCCTCTTCTGATTTCCAGGTGAATGGTATAATCGGCCAGATGCTCAGTGCCGGTCAGCGTCCGATGTGAAATTCAGACCTGCTCTAATTTGGGATTTTTGTTTCTAAATGAAAGCATGCTGTTAAGTAGGCTCTACGCATGGGAAGGATACTGAATTTATTTACTCTGTTACATCAGTTTTTATTTTTTGGTCATTCTATTGTACTGCATAATCAATGGCAAACTAACTGCTGGCTGCTGTAATAAAATTTTTGACCCAGTAATGAGTAGTATTCTTTGTTGTTGTGTACTATGCAATTCCTACTTCATTCTTTTTCTACAGGGTGTTCTTTTTATATTAAAATTTTGTCTATTTTGGTAACTTTGGTAATTATTCTAACATGAAAAGTTTATCTTACCTTTATTTTAGTTCTTTGTGAATCTTTTAATATGAGATATTCTCAATGTAGCGGCAGACAAAGATTAAGATGAACATTTAATGTGAAAAAATTATGGAGAATGGATTTTTTATATCAATTTTTCATTGAAAAAAAAAAGTGCTCATATTGCTAATATGAGCCATTGATTAAAATGGAGTTTAAATAGAAAAAAATCACAATTTTCAAGTTGATCACATTAAAAGGAATTTTTACTGGCTTCGGCGGAATATTTGAATTGCGTATCAAAGGTAGTTGAAAGGTTAAATGAATACAGGTTAAAATTTTCATATTTCCACAATTTTTCGAAATAAAGCATCGAAAAATGAATTTCCCTCCGCAGGTTAGAGCATAGGTTTCAGTTTTGCAATTGTTTATATTCTCTTCATTTGTTAAATTGCTTTTTTAATTTCGGTGAAAAATTAGTTATTCTTATATAAAAGAACGGAAGGAATATATATTTGTCAAACGATTATTTTAGAGTTGGTTACTAAGCTTTTATTGGCCCAACGTATCAGAATATTTCGAACTTATGGATTTTTGTAATTTCACTCCTTTTTTTATCTTGTTTAATTTTACCCTATTTCGACTTTTGTAACTATAGTATTTTCAATTGCAATTAAAAATGGAATGACAAATAAAGTGTTTTCATTCTTTTTTAAAAAAATTAATAATAAAAATAAAATTTTAAATATCCTTTAAATATTAAATTATATATTTATATATTTAGAAATATGATATTTGAGACATGCAATTAAAATAGTTAGAAATTTTTTTTACTACAATTTTTTGAATAATAATTTGATTATATTATCAATTTAAAGAAATTACTACAATTAAGATTTTCATCCTTACAATTAAGATTAACATAAAACAAAATGCATAATTAAAAATATATTTTACTAATTTAAGATTTTTTAGTAAGTAATAGAAATTAATATTATTAAATTATTAATTAGCATATTTATTTTAAAAATTAAAATTTAATATATGCAACATTATTTATTTAGACTAATGTCACGACCCGTTTCTGTGGGCCGGACCGGCACTAGGGCCCAAGTAAGCTTAAGGCCCCCGAGGCCCGTAGTAAGCCTAAATTATCCAATCTGTCTTTTAAAGGCCCCGAAGGCCCGTAGTAAAGCCTTAAAGTATTCCAAATCTGTCTACCTAGCTTTCTCAATTTTTATCAAACAGTAAGCCATATTCCAAACATCAAACATCTGGCCCCAATCTCAAATAAAAACACATAATAATATAATCGGGGCCTATCACAATAAATTATAATGGAACTACTGGTTACCTGCGTAATGCGCAAATATTTAATTTATAGCGTATGCTAATCAATAAAGCCCGATTAAATACACAACCCTATAACTGCGGAGTTCAAATAATAAACTGATAATAGAATAATTTTATACATCCGAAAATTTAAAATAACAGAAATATAAGGTTTACATTTATAACTCTTGCGGAGAAGATGCAGAGGCCTCAGTCGAATCAGCTGCTTCCTAAGTACCTTTGGGAGTTTGTTTGGGAGGGTGTGAAGTTTGCAACTCAGTGGAATTAATAATACAATAATACCACATCACAAACAGTCACACATATGCACCCTAAAAGACTGAATTGTAAACACAACAGGTCAGATCATATGGCATCATATCAGACCCACAAAACATTATGTTTCACCTTTCAATTAAATCACATCACTGGGAAAATTAGTCAGTGGAGTCACCGAACCCCCGATGAAGCCGTCCTCCCACCATGGCTCATCCTCTCACATGTGCACCATGGAGCGATCCCCCATCTGGCCGACCGTCTAATCCTCACTTGACCGCCCTCTCATTATTTTTCTAGTTCCTCTCTTTTCTTTTTTTTTTTTTTTTTTTTTTTTTTTCATACCAACAGCAGGCAAAAACCCGCTGGTCTCCATCCAATCTAGATCATCAAAGGCTCACAAACAGGAGCCACCCTGCGGGCTGCCCGATCAAATCTAGACTGTCCGGTGCGCAACGACGAGAAGCCAACCCAACCCGTGGTTAACGGTAACGGTAACGGTAGGTGCACACGGGGGCGCCGATCTCCCATTTACCCGGCTAACGGTAATCATATTGGATCCATATAACTGTACGGTCTCACAGTCCCATGGTGACCCACTTCATCCCAATTCCACACAAACAAAACACAATATATGCACAGCACAATTATTCAAACAATTCTCTCAACGTACTACACCAAATACATCCAAAATCAATGCAAATAAATAAATAAATAAATAAATATGTACATAATTAAATGAATACTAAAGATAATAAATAATCAGTAGCACTATATTTATTATGTACCAAATTATAGAACTAATCTAAATAAACTTATTAATTATGTTGTTAATTAAAATTTAGTCTAATTTCTATCAAAATTCCGGGCGATTTAAGCAAAGTAAGAACGACACAAAAGAAAATAATTCTATCAGACAAAATATTTCTTTACCACTCTAAGAATTTTATTTTATATTCTAAATTTTTCTATATTTTCTTTTCTATAATAAATTTTTATTTTTCTACCAAACTCTATTTTACTTATTTTCTTCTGACTTCTATTTTATTTCCTACCGAAATTTATTTTATTTTCTACCGAAATTTCGGCAACATCTCCCCTAAAAATTGGACTATCTACCTGTTAAAATATCTTTCTACCGAAATTTCGGCGGCATCTCCCCTAAAAATTGAACTATCTACCTGATAAAATATCAACAATTTCACAAATATTCAATCTATACGGCCCATCCGTCGGGCAATTAGTCAAAAAACGTTTCCCATCCTCCATCAATCTCAACATTACCACACAATTAAATTATATATATTACAATAACATCATATCCAAACTGCCTTAATAAAATCAACACTATAATTATAAAGCTGTTAACTACTCATAATTACCAAATTAAATTAACCAAATTAATTAACTATAGATAATAAAATTAATTTAATTAACTAGCATTACTAACATTAACTATTTATATAATTAATTACAAATGATAATAACATTAATTTCATTATCTAATATTACTAAATTAATTAACTTCAAATAATAAAATTAATTTAATTGACTAATATTACTGATACTAACTTGGCTAAATAAACTAGCTACAACAATGAACTACAACTAACTTAACTAATTAATTACTAGCACTAATTACTAACACTAACACTAACACCAACTTAACTAACTAAATTAACTACAAACCATTACTTTTATTCACTAAAACTAACTTAACTAAATGAATCAATTAATTTCATTGTCTAATACTAATTTAATTAACTAATGTTTCATTATCTAACTAACATTAACTAACACAATTAACTAAATTAACTAAACAACATTAACACAGTTAACGTTAATTAACGTTAACTAACTAACTATTGCTAGGCTAGAAATTCTTACGCGTGTCGGGTTAGAAGCAGTGACTGCCGGTGGTCGAACTCGACTGGCAGTGGCGGAGGGAGGCGGAGATGACCGATCGGCGTGCTGGAGGGACAGCAGGGCTGCTGTGACGCCGGCGGAGGCCCGATCTGCAGTGGTAGCGATGGCTTGACAAAGCTGTGCTACTACTGTAGGCGCAACAGAGGACAACGCGATCTGGCCGAGGAGACGAGGAGCTGCTGGCGGAGCTGTTGCGTTGCCGAGCTGCAGTAGGGGCGGTGGCGGAGTGGCAGTGGCGCGCGGCTCTGCTGCGTTGCCTTTGTCTCGCCAAGAACGCAGGCACAAGGAAAGAAAAAGAAAGAAAAAAAGGAAGAAAGGAAGAAAGGAAGGAAGAAGACGAAGAAGAAGAGGGAAGAGTGGCAGTGGCGCTGTGATGGCAGTGGCGATGGAGTGGAGATGCGCTGGTGAGGGGGGAGTGAGTTTAGCATTGGAGATAAAAGAAAAAGAGAATTTTCTAATAAAGAAACAAAAAAAAGGGGGGGAAAAGAAAAATTTTTTCTAAGATGGTTTTGGGTCGGACCCGGTTTTGATTCGGTTTCGATCGGCTCAAAATCCATCGATTTCAACTGGTTTTCGCTTTTTACATCTGGTTTTCGATCCGGTTTCTCACAAAGTATGGCGCCACTAAAATATTAATATTAATTTCCAGCTGTCGGTTTATTAAATTTTAATTTGATAATTTTTTCAGAAAATAAAAATTCGGGTTATTTCAACTAATGAATTTTTTTAAATTTAATTTTTTAAAATTTTTATTCAGAGTCACATGATAATTAAAAAAGAATAATCGGTTTTCGATCCGGTTTCTCACAGTATGCGCACTAAAATATTAATATTAATTTCCAGGCTGTCGGTTTATTAAATTTAATTGGATAATTTTTCGAAAATAAAAATTCGGGTTATTTCAACTAATGAATTTTTTTTAATTTATTTTTTAAATTTTTATCAGAGTCACATGATAATTTAAAAAAGATAAAAATACTTTTTATTTGCAATTCCATCTTTAATTGCAAATTAAGAATGCTATTGTTGTAATATATTGAGTTTAGAGTAAAATTGAAAAAAATATCACAACAGAGTAAAATTTCTAAAACCTTTATTAGATTTTTTTTTTTATATACTTTACTATTTCAACATCATTTTGACCATGAACACTTGTCATTAAACAAATAAATGAATAATAATTCTATCCACATGCTTCATCATTTCATTTTTTTATTATCTTCTCTCCTTTTCTTTCTTACAGAATCCCCAAATATCCTCTCCTTTTTCTCCATTGTCCTATGCAGAGTCAAGATTTTGAACATAAGCCCATCCCTTCACTCAATTGTCCTTTCTATTTCCAATGAATTTTTTTTTTCCTACATTTTCTTGGCAACTTAGCAATTCTTTATTTATATATTAACTAATTGCATTTTGAAAATTCTTTGCTTTTTAAAATACTCTTGGCATAATAATTTTAGAAGGCTAGAATGATGGATAATTTTAGCATAATTGTTTAAATTTGTTAAATTTATTTAGAATTTTCACATTTTTTTGATAGATTTTGATTTAATTATATTCAAGTATATAGAATTGAATTAGCAGAATTTAAATCTCTGTTTTCTTTCATGCCAAACAAAAATTTAGATTTATAACAAAATTTTGTGAAATTCATTTATTTCAAAGAAAGGTTAAAGCAGAACAATATCGCTATGTATATTGGTAAGTTTAATTTAGGAAAAGTTACACCTGTGCTGTTGCAGAAATACATACATCAAACATATAAATGAAGAAAGATTATAACTCTCAGGATCAAGCTGATAGAACAAAAAAAAAACATACATCAAAATTATAAAACATAACTCTCTGGCACTGCAGAAACTCAAAATGCTAAATAAATGAAGAAAGATGGATACAAGGAGTTTTTTAAATGGATAAAGAAATCTTTCAAGAACTATACATTTTCAGTTTCTATGTTTTTGAGTTTCCAAGGATGTGCCATCTTTTAGAGTTTCTTGTGCATCACTGTCCATTCCAAGACTGAAAAGGGCAGCAGCTTGGAGATAGAAGGCAGTGGGCCACTCAGGAGATACTGCTTGAGCTTGCATTGCATCTCCAAGAGCTTGTTGTGGCATGTCACTTATCAAGTAGCACAGGCAGCGTCTGGCAAATACAGTAGGTGATACCATGGTCCCGCCATCAATAAACTACACGAAGAAAGGAAGATTATTTAACAGTTGATTAATTTGTTGAGTTATTTAACTCAATCCAGAAACCTGTGATTAGAATATGTCTTACTTGTGTGTAACAATCAATGGCAGTAGCGAAGTCTTTAGTTCGAAAAGCAGTATCTCCACGCTTCTTACAATTAAGTGTTTCCTGTATCTGATCTGTCCACATTTGGAAGGAAAGCTGCAAAGCAAAAGAAATTCAATGATACTCTACATAAAACAAGTGACAGATAATGAACAAAGTTGAACTATACTGAGGAAATTATCAATTTGGCACAATGTGGGACATCTTTAAATGACAAGGTGAGAAGAGTAGACTGACTGGGAAGTGATGGCAAAATAAAAGAACATGACATTTTAGCATTATTAGTATGCGAGTATGCTATTGGACTATTCTCAACATGGAACCCTAGAAGGCTAGAACCTATAGATAATTGTGTCTAGGCGCAGTAGACTTTTAGCTTGAGCTAAACAAAGGATGGAGTCTAATAATAGGCATTACTAACCTCATTTGCAATCCCCTCGTCATCTTTGTATCCCACCTTCTCCAGTATCTCATGTATTGCAGTCAGGTCCAGTCTTGAGCAAGCTTCACCAAGAGGTGTCAATAACACTGTTTGCTTTGGGGATGGATCTCCATGTGGAATACCCATCAAAACATAGGATGGAACCTGTAAAGTACCAGTAAATGAGAATATAAAATATGCTCACGGAATTTGACTCAGCTGCAATAATATATATACCAAACCTTAAACACAAAGTCAGATAATCAAACTTAAACATTTTTGAAGTTAGCTAACATTAAGGTTTTCGAGCATCTGTTCAAAATGTCACAAGCTAAGCCTTTGTAATTACTCAGCTTGCATTTACAATTATATACATTAATTTTATTTGCAATAAATTTTAAAAGTTTACTAAATTGAGCTCAAGCTTTGACAAATATCATAAAGCTCAAGCTTGTTTAGTGAAGCTTGACTAACCGTAATATAAACTAGACCAATCAAAGTTCTCAAACACAAAAGTCAACTTAATTCATTGTAGCAATAAGCCAAGTCTGGTAACTCAAAAGAACAGCCTTCGATCAAAAGCCTCAAAAGCATTTGCTAATAAGATATCATATAACACCAAAAGATGATTAACTAAAAGCATTAACTGTTATGGCAGTAACATGAATACATTAAAGAGACAGCCTCGGACTAAGGCTAAGGATTTAAAAAGAGCAAGGCATACCTCAGTTTCTTTCTGCAGAGGACTGAGTGCAGCGACAAGAGTCTTTGCATTTGGCCTCTCACGAGGTTCGTATTGTAAACAACGTGAAGCTAAACGCACCAATTCAGTTCCATCATCATTTGAAAAATGACCCTCCAAACATGAGTCCATCAGCATCAAAAAATTTTTCCCACGTATAAGGTCAAGTGCCTGTCAAGTTTGGGGGTTCAAGCATTTAGCCCAATATTTTCTAAAATAACATAATTACTGTAATTATCATCTCATAATAATAATTCACTTCCAAGCATTTAAGCTAATTATTTCCTTGCAAATGCTGCCCAAATTTCAAACACTTCCAAAATGCATATTTATTTTTTGTTAATCAAATGTCAACATCAAGAGAAATCTGAATCAAATTCCACCCAAGATAAAGATTGTTCCAAGGAGAATAGATTACATGGCTTGGAGGTATGTGTTTGCCACTGAGAAGATCAAGCAATAGAGTACCAAAGCTGTAAACTACACTTTCAGGTATGACTCTACCTGCAACATAAATATATACCTAAAATGAGCTCAATTAAGAAGCAATGATGCAGGCCACAAGCATCAGGGCCAAATGCATAAAAGCTAAGAAAACAAAAACCAATTTGATGCAGCTGTTACCAGTCCTCAGGTACTCAGGAGGTGTGAATGCCAGGTTTGTACTATAGCTCTTGCCATCTCTGCTATTCTTCATTAAACCAAAGCAGGAGAGCCTTGGATTGCCATCCTAACAAGTGTTACCTCAATATTAGGAGTAGCTCACTAGAGATAGCCAACTTTGAAACGAAGGCAAACAGCAAAAGAGTGTAAAATAAAGAAAGTACCTGGTCAAACAGAATTCTATAAGCATTAAGGTCATGATACAAGGCCCTTCCTTTACTGCTGCAGTATTCCAAAGCTTGAGCCAGATGGAGAGCCACTCTCAGTCTCATTGCCCATTTCATAGGCTGACTTTCCCCTAAACCAATTCAATTTTAAAAATTCTCATCACTCTTAAGCACCAAACGCCCAAAAATTTCTATAAATTCTAGACATCATAAAACAAAAATCTGCACTGAGTTTGATCTCTTAGAAACATCAGGCTTAACAAATTTCAAAGTACAACAAATAGAAAAATCAAAAGGTAAGAATAGGCAATACACTAAATGTCTTAGATTAAAAAATAAATAAAAAAGGAGCAATGAGACTGACAGTGAAAAAGATGCTTAGAGAGGGTTTCATTAGGCATGAACTCAGCTACCAGCAATCTCTCCTCCCCTTCACAGCAACACCCAATCAAATTTGCCAATCTTTCACTTCTCAACTGCCCCACAGCTCTCGCCTCCTCCTATTAAAAAAACATAAAGAAACAGAAATGCAAATCACAATCAAATACAAAAACCACTATAAAAGAAAACAAAAAGACAGAAAGAAAACGCAATACAGCTACTATTTAGCAAGAATAAAAAAGAAGACGAACGAGGAACTGGCGTGAATCGGGCCAAGCAGACTTGTTAAACCGTTTGACAGCGATCCAGCGATCATCTTCTTGGAATCTGCCTCTGTAAACCACATTTGGAGCTTTCTCTCCATGCTCTGATACTATATTATCTGTACTGAACCCTGAAGTAGCAGCTCGTAACTGCTCCAAGCTGAACTCTCTAAACCCAGGAAGCAAGTCCCCATTCTCTGCAGGTAAAACAAAGATTGTAAGTTTTTCCCAGGAAAGTGACAGAAACTAAAATGTGATTAATAAACTAACCAAGATCGGAGGATTCATTGAGGTTGGATTTAAGATTAGATGGCCACCAACAAAGTGATAATTTGGAGCATCGAGCTCCCATTTTGCTAACAAAACTTCGATATCTATAAATCACAAGAAAAAGAAATGGATAATCTCTCCTTATCTCTCTCTTTCTATGTAGCTAAAGCTAAAGCTAAGGCTTAGTACTTTGTTTTACTTCCCATTCACTTTCTTGGGTAGTGGAAGAGGGTTTTAAGGAGAGAGAGAAATTGAAATTGAAATTAAAAAAATGAAATACTAAAATGAGCATAGAAGAGTTTTTGTTTGGGTAGCAAGAAAGTATGAGAAAAGGAAGGAAACTTTTTGGATCCAAAGAATCACTCTCTCTCTATGCATTTTCACCGTTTCATCATTCTCTCGTTTCTGCTTCGAATTTATTATTATTATTTTTCGAAAAAGTTTTCGGTTTTTCTAGTTTCTGTTCGGTTTTCTAAATTTCAACCACTCCCACCTTCAACCATTGCGCGTGGATGCACGAATTAAAAAAAAAACTCGGAAAACAATTTATCATGATAATTAATACTTTGTTTGGATAAATGTAAAATACGAAAGATATAAATATGGGATGAAAATTATTGAAATTATAAAAAATTCTCATTTGGTTTATATAAAAATATACTTTAATCTCATTTTCACTCCCTTTTAAAAGAAAAATGAATAAGATCATTTTACACTTCCTTTCTCCACCCAAACATAATATAAGAATCGGAGGATAATCAATGGAAATAATGAAATCAAATTGAATAATAGATTCAATTTATAAAACATTTAGGTCAGTTAATTCATACAGCTCATAATTTTATTTTTTTCTCTTTTAGGATTTTTTTGAGTTTTTTTATAAACGAATTTATTACTTTTTATATATATAATAGTTCTGATGGTGTTATTTATTACTTAGACAATAATATAGAATAAGGTATAATAAACTCATTTAATTAAAGATATAATAATAAAAAAATTAAAATTATATACAATTACAATATAAATTAAACAAATTCCTCAATATATACATTAAGTAATGTATTTCGACAAAGAAAACTATATATCCAATCCAATAACACCAGTGTCACCAAAATAAAAATAGAGAGAAATGTAAATAATACCACGCGCCGAAACAACGCGTAATAATGAATACTTTAAAATTCTTTTCAAGGGCAAATAAACATTGTCGTTTGGAGTTAGTGAATAGATCGGCAGTAGACGTGGCGATTAATCGCCGGGTGAAGGAAATCGTTGTCATGTGGTATGTGGGAGTCAAAGTCAAAAAAGGTCGATTTCAATTGGGAGTATAGTTCAGATTAGGTAAAACTTGCAATTAAGGATCACTTAGTTTTAAATTTTAATGCTAATGAGAAAGTGCTGTCCTTATCACCATGTCCTTTATTATAGTAAATGGTAGTTATATTTTCTCCATTTTGGAATTTCTTTAATTTTGTTTGCTAATTACTAATATTTTCCATTTTACTGTAGAGTTATTTTTAATTTTCTAACATTTAGAATTTATTCGATAAAATTAATTATTTCAGCAATAACTTTTAGCTGATAAATGCAACTATACTAATAGAACAATAAAATTTATGTAATAAACTCAATTTTCATAAGATTAAATTTACCTAGATCAGATCTATGCTTCCATTCCAGACTGAATTAATAAAAAAAATAGAAATTTTATCCATTATTTTCTTAATGTATGATCAGAAATAAATGAAAATGGGCTCGTAGACCAGAGTAGAAATAATACTGCGGACTACACAACCCTTAGCTCATCAAATTGATGAAAACAATTGTGATCGAGAGGACTCAAACTCAAGACCTCAGACTTTTCATATAAATGAGAAAACCAATTAAACTACCACCTGATTGATACAGCTCTTTTAAATGTTGAATATAATCTACAGATAGGTCTTTATAATTACATATAATACTATTGATGTTGGGATGAAAAAGGTGCTGCCCATTGGGAGCATAATGGCTAGAGTTAAAAAGGAACAATTGTTTTGTGCTTTTTAGAGTTCTTATGCCAGTGAGTGAGAGGATATGTTAATTTATCCCATCAAACATTAAAAATTATTGGGAGGATATTTAAATAATATTGATAAATCTTTTTTTTTTTTAAGAATATAATATTGATAAACCTTAATTAAATTATCATATATTAATTTATGTATCATGGTTTAATTGTGTTTCACGAGTGGGATACACTTCCTAAATGTGATTTTTCAAAAGAAACTATAAATAAAATCATATATAAAAATGTCAATCATATGTGCTCTGATTGGTTTTCGCACTTATATAAAAGTGAGAGGTCTATCCCATTTTATTATTTCAGTCCATCGGGCCCCAAATGAATAAAAAAAACATACATGAAAGCGAAAAATTGATATTAACAATAAAATATGAATTAGCATCTATCATCACAAATAGTCATGTTGTTATAAATATGTATTTATTATTAATTATTATTTTTAATATTAAGTATTGATTAATGTAATTAAATTACTAGGTTTAAATTCAAGATTCATTAAATGATTTATAATTTTATCCCAAAAAAGAAGAAAACCACAAAAAGAAAATTCCATAATGGTGGGAAATATGCCAATTTCCTTTCTCACTTGTACTTGTTCTAAGCACTAAACTTCCTAGTTCTATTTCAATTAATGTAGCTAAGGAGGGACCACAAATTTTTTAGATGCATTATTCAATTCATAAAGTGGAAATAAATACATTAAATTTTCAAATTTGAACCCAAAGTATATTTCAGAAAAAAAAATTAAATATATTTAACAAATTCAAAATTTTAAAATATAAAAGTATTTAAAAAAGGCTAAATAAATAAATTACCCGAACTTTTAAGAAAAATCTTGTGACACATTTAATTTTTTGATAGACCTATTGCATACCTCAAGTTGCAAAATTTGAATCTATTATACCTCTCGTTGTGAGTTCTCTCGGGAGTGTCCGCTAGAATGTATAACAGTAGTTTCTAACTTAAAAGGCAGAATACACATCTCGAAAAATTTAAAATTTTTTTATAAAAAAATTTAAAAGTGAATTTATATATTTTACCATTTTAAAAATTTTATCATACCCAAAAAAAATAAAGAAAATTTAAAAATTGTATACCATATTTTATTATTGTCCATCCAACTAAATACATAATGAAATTAGAATATGCTTTTTTCCTCACTAGTGCTTGTGCCCATTCCTGCCAGCAAGTGAGCTTAGAAATTGCTGATTTTTTTTTTTTTTTTTTTTTTTTTTTTTTTTTTTTTTTTTTACCCAAAAAAATAAAAAGAAAATTTAAAAATTGTAATATCCATATTTTATTATTGTCCAGCACTAAATAACATAATGAAATTAGAAATATGCTTTTTTCCTCCACTAGTGCTTGTGCCATTCCTGCAGCAAGTGAGCTTGAAATTGCTGATTTTTTTTTTTTTTTTTTTTTTTTTTTTTTTTTTTTTTTTTTTTTGGTTTAAGACAATTATTAAAATGGCCAAGACAACAGACTGTTTTTTTTTTTTTTTTTTTTTTTTTTTTTTTTTTTTTTTTTGGTTTAGACAATTATAAAATGGCAAAGACCAAACAGACTGTCTTCTGCTAACCAAATCTTTATTTGAAACTTTTAGTAATTAATATTTATAAAATATCAAAAAGTTGTTTTAAAGACCAAACCCAAATGTTTATTAATAGGGAAACAACCTTTATAATTTATCATTATGAATATTATTTTAGCATTCTCTTCACACTTAATTTTTCTATTAAAATCTGCTTTCTCAAGTTTAAATATGTTTGTAAATTTGGTTACGAGAGCTATTCAATCAGCTCGATTCAAATTAAATTGAATCAATATAAATTGATTAAATTAAATTTTTATAGATAAAATACATTGAACCGGATTATCTATATAACTGAAAAATTACTTATGTATATTAAAATTGAAATCAAATTGAATTTTTAACGATTAGATCGAATTGAACCAGATCAATCAATTCAATTATGTAATTATTTCAATTCAATTTCATGGATTTTATTGGTTATTCTCCAACTCTATATTTGACTAAAATTTTTTTGATCAAAATACTAAATCAATCACTTTAAGTGAAAATTCAAAGATAGATAATATTAGAGGTGTGAAAATGGATTGACGTGTCAAGTTTGACACCAGTCCATCTGACCAGCAGCCCAATTAAAAACACAATCTATTTAATTATCATGTTAAATATTTAGAAATGAACACGACACAAAATTTAAATAAGTGACGCGAAAATAACATGTATAACCGATTTAATTAAATGGATCATATACGATAAAAAAAAACATGATACATATAACACATATATTATATGACTACATATAATATTGATGATTGAATAATGGAGGTCTTAAGTAAGGCATGGATCAAATGATGGAAAACTACCCAACCCAAGATTAAGATCTTCTTGACCAACTTTTCCAGCTCAATTATCTCAAAATGGCCTGTCTTTCCAATTGCCACTATCATCTACTACATGCAAGAATACCCACAAGGATAAGATATTTTAAATTTATAACAGGAGACTTTTTTTTCATTTTTTTCTAAGACCTAAAAGCTCTTTTTTCTTTTTCTATGAGTAACCATCACTTTTCCTTTTTTTGAATATTGAGATTTTGTTCTCAGATTTAGTTCTGAGTTATTATTGGATATTTTGTTATTTGGACAACTATGTAGAAAGAAGTGCATATCTCCTCTCTAATATAAAGAAGCAATTTGAAAGTAATCAAATTGGAATTTTAGAAAGACTATAGAGTCTAACGGTGCCATGAATAACAATCAAATAGAGCAAGCGATCCCCTATGATACTCTGTCAACTTGACTGGATACTTCAAATCAAGATTGTACTTTTTTATTCTTTGTATAAGTAGTTTATTATACAAAAATATATAATATATTCTTTTATATCTCGTACATATATACAATTTTTGCTTAATGAAACATTTCTTCTGAAAAAAAAAAAAAAAACCCACAAAGACTGTAGTCTCTACCCTCTGCCCCACAAACAAAAGGTGAGCCCTCATGGGTAAAGAAACACTAAGAAATGTACGACTCATAAATATGGTATAACACCTACTATTTTAGCATACTTTGCTTCTGCTAAGATTTCTAGCACAGACAATGAGGATGCTCCTAAGGATCTGTATGGGAACTTTAAGACATAGATCAGCATTAAGATTCATGGATTTGGGAAGCATAAGGGCATACCTCAATTCTTTTAATTTATTATTGTACTGCAAATTTCTTAATTTAAAACACAAAACCCACTTTAGTTCTTGGACCACATTCACATGTTCATCAACACCTGGCATATGTTATCTTTTCTATGTCTTGCAATAACCACAATCCAACATCACACACTCAGGTCCTTTTGAATTAACAATTAGAAGCCTAACATAGCCTTTGGTTAACCCATTTAACTTTTAGCGTTTTATAAAAAGTTATTCAAACAACTAAATGCTATTAAAACAGCAAATTTTGCTGAACAGAACTTAAATTCAGTAATTCAGTTTAGCCACCAACAACTAATTGTTGAGCCAAATCATATAATTTGGCCATAATAACACTGAAAGATCAAAAGGGAAAAAATGGAGGACCTATTACAGATGGATTTTGACTAGAGAAGGAACCTGCAATATGTTCAAAGGTCGTACAGCTGACAGAGGCTTCGGAGTTTCACAAAATGGCCAAAATTGAAAGTGCAAATAGATAAAGTTAAATTCAGTAAATTTGACATTGGTATAGCAAGAAAGAAAAAAGATTATGTTAGTACTAAGATGAAGAGCTACAAAGGGAAAGAGCTAAAAAGGGAAAAGGTACAGTACCTTTGATGGGAAGAGAAACACAGGCATGCATGTGATCTAACAAGTAACAACTGCTGTCTCCAATGTTAATTTACATTTCAACTTCCTATCAAAAATCAAAAGTTAATAAATATACAAAGTGAAACAAGTGCAGAAGATGATGGTGCTGTGGGACACAGACAAGAAGCATTATTAAATTGCATCATTGACTCATGCCAGCCCCATTTGTCCTAAAGAGGCATCCAATCTCAAAAAATTTAAGGTCATTCTCTAATCAATGTTAAACTATCAACATAACCTTGTCCCCTCCTCTTTATTTTTTCATTCATACACCCTATCAGCTCAAATATGTGGACACCAAATTTTAGTAGTTTCAAAATTCAAACATGACAGGCTGGCCAGTGTAGAGGAAACCCTCTATGGAGATAAATTCTACAAGGAACAATTTAAACAACTAAAAACAGAGTGTTTTAAGATATGTTAGAAAAGAATTGATTCCACCTTAAATACAGAAATTTTCTTATGCATTGGTTCAAACAGAAAAATTTAGGCACACAATCAAAGCAGTAATATCAGCAGAGCTATCTTCAGCATTTGCTGATGCCTATGTACAATTAACATTGATTATGTTCCTAAGCTTGTAATCCATTTTTATGTTCTGTAATTCTGCAGGCATGTTTGATAACTTCAAAGTGCCAAAAGGGAAGAAGCTGGAGGTGAAACTAAGATGATTGGAAGCCTTCGTTAATCATTCGAGACTCTATTTGCAATCTCAACAGAAACTCCATTTAGTGATTTGTGATGATCTTCCATGCTCTTGTTATCCTTATCTCTACTCACAGGTAGCAGTAGTAGAGATGCAAGTCCAGTGGATCGGTCAGGCAATGCTGCAAAAAGACATTCTGAGTTACAAAGTTTCAAAATTTAAACAGGATGAAAAAAAAAAAAAAAAAAAAAAACAGATGAAAAAAAAAAAAAAAAAAAAAAAAAAAAAAAAAAGCATATCCAAAATACCCAATTAAGTTATCTTCATTGTTTTCTCAAGTTCATGGATTCATTAACAAGTGTAATAATAAATAAATATATAGATGAGAGTGAAGAAAAACTTTTTACCATTCCATGGTTATTTTCAAGTAAATTCCATTTTAAACATGTAAGCATGTACTTTTTCTTCATACAATCCACAATGGAAGCTTATCCAGGGCAACTGATCCAGTGAATATAGAGTTCAATAAACAGATTCTCTCTTAAATAACTACAAGTATACTCCATGTAAGAAACATCTATCATGAGCTACACATGGAGAAAAGGAACTATTGTGAAATACTAACCCGGAAGTTTCTTGTCTATAAAGAATGCAACCAAAGTTACAGTATACCTGCATAAGCGTTAACTAACTCAAAATCAATAAGTAAAGTTTCCATTTCAATGATGCTAAATGTAAGAATAAAAAATGGATCCTCCTCCTACCATGCAACAACAACATCAACTGAGTAATGTTTGCGAGATGCTAAAATAAGAAGGCTCTGAATCACAGCAACTAACCAGGCAATTTGTTTTATGCACCTGCAGGGTAAGCCAAAATAGAGTCAATCAAAAAATTTGGTAATCAGTCCTTACACATAGTAGAATGACACACAGCTAGAAGTATCACGTCTGTGACGCATATTACTCTGAATCCACTCCAACAACCCCTTCCAATTAGTTGTTGTGTGGGTTTTTCTTGGGGGGTGGGGAGGTGGGAAGACTAAACAGAAATTTATTATGGAAGAGCTCATTATTTACCTCCTTGTGCCGTACTTATGATATGTCCGCACAAACACTATGGTAAAGATCATGTGCGATGAAAAAATCAAATCACCACAGCCATAATTAACCCCTCGAGAAACTGCACATTAATGAAAGTCAAATGAGAATCATCATGCAGTAAGATGCGAAATATAGTATCATTGTTTTTGTGTAGTGTAGTGTGCGTGTTTGTTTTCATAATGGAAATCAGTTAGATGTTCAAAACGTACAGTTGATTGTGAGCAATTCAATTGCCCTCTCTGGAGGGGGCAGCCTGGCAAATTTTGAGCCCTGAAAGAGACAGTTGTACCTGATTGTAAAGAATTGCTTTTATTACAACAAGATAATTTAAACAAAAATTCATTGACAAAAGGGTATATGAAGTCCTGAAATTAAATGAAACTGCCTGCATATTATGTCAAGTTTTATAAAATTTTACCTCGCGGCAGTGATAATTTGGACCAGGTAGATGAGTTGAATAGAATGTAATTATCCGGAGAGTCTGACAAGCCTAAAAAGGAAGAAAAAGTTCCTAGAACCAATTATAAGCTGAAGAAACCAGGACATCATAAGGAAAATTCTCATATAATTCCACTGCCAGTGTGAGTGGGTGACGCAAACATGAAAAACAAGTGTAAGAACAACACAGTCATAACTGAAAGAAGCCATCTTCTTTCTGTAGGTTACAAAATGTATAGAATTATATGTTTCTCATATTGTCAGCACTAGAGTTAGCTACAGATTCTCAAGATGATAATGATAAAGAAGAAGAAGAAGAAGAAGAATACAAAATACAGAAAAAGCTCAGGAAAAGATATGCAAGTTTTTGACGATAGGATTCGTTATAAGTTTCTCTTTATTAACTACAAAGAAACAATAGTTTTTCGGCATATCCAAGAACAGAGTTTGTTATTCTTGCATTCAGAATGATCTCATGGCAGAAGCAAAAATGAAAACTACGTACCACTAAATAAGCAAGAACCCTGCACCAGATTAGAGCTGTATAGATTTTTTTGTGCTGAAAAATGAAAGGGTGAAGAGTCCACTGCAACAGAGCAGACACTCATTAGACCATTCAGAAACTAAATCTATAGATCAATGGCTGATCATTTATGATTAAGCTTCTTAACAGCATGAAAAATAGATAAGCAAAAAAAAGAGGAAGCTTGAATATATTTCATAATCATCCTCTCTCTAAAGTCTAAAAATTAGCATCCTAGCATCAGATGAATCATGACACTGAAATCATTCACCAGGTTTAGTCTATTAGAAAAGAAAGTATGATCTCATTTCTCAAAAGTTTGATGTGCCAATCTTTGAGGAATTAATAATGCTGAAACATATGCGAACAAACAAGTGGCAAGGACCTAGAGAAATTTGACAAACTTATGCAAACCTTTTATATAAAGAAACCTGCAAACCGTGAGAGTCTAGAATATATCTTCTTTAACAAGTAAGGAAAAGACGGAGAGAGATTTTATGACGCATGTATAGTATTTTAAATAACAAGTAACAACTAAGCAGAAATGTTGAATGAGGGTAACCAAAATTACTAAGAACACCAGTGAAACAAATGATGTAGCCCAGGAAGAAAACAGTGAAATCATCAGTTAAATTACTATAAGATGACTTTAAAATCTTACCAACACAAAAGAACCAAATATGAAAGTGAACCAGGTCTCACTTATATAAGCTTTATCCTGACCAAGTTCCTGAAATGGCCAAAAGATCAAAAATAAAAAATGTCCACAACGCTTTAACATCAAGCACGAAAATGCTAACTATTCGCAACAGTGACACGCACTGGAAGAATAGAAAAACCCGTATCTTGAAGCGTTGGCCCTGGCCTATGTAGGTAATGAATTCCATGTGCAGCTAGCCCATGTACATACTGTAGACAGGAAAAAGGCTCGTTCATTAGCATCATGAGATACCAAATTTTACATTGAATCGTGGAATGTAAAGAAAGAAAAATCACATAAACTAGTTGCAAGTTTAAGAATTAGTTTAAGAAGACAAAATGATGTTAGAAAAACAAAAATCACATAAACTATCATGAATTATATAAAAGGCAATAAAGCCTGAAGCTCCCATTTATGAGCAGCTAAGTTGCAAATGAACAACTAAGGTATGTGTTCATTGATACATTTCAAACCATGGTCAAATAGGAAAAAGGTGGAACTATAGTAAGCTAAAATCAAAAGTGAAGCAGTATGCCCAGACAGAACTATCAGAAGGTAATCTGAATTGCTTCAATCATCCACATTATGTCACGCGATTTTAGCAATTTAAGAAGTAAGAGTTTCATGCATTCACAAACAATATAACCAAACAAGAAAATTGGGAATGTAAAGTTTATAGACCAAGTATAAAAATCTGTTCTTCAGTTACTCTCAAATCTCCAAAAGAAGGATTACCAATACTGTAGCTCACCACTTAGCACTGTCCAAAGAATGTTCTTTCATAATATATCTTTTAAACAGCACAAAATGGTGAACATTATGAAAGAACATTCCATGTGTTCTTTCATAATTGTCTGTGAATATTTGAAAAATGAAGCTACTAGCTATTCAAAATCTCCTGCTAAGAACAAATTTCATTCCCAAGCTAATAAAAGCAGTATTGCTAAAATCCCACATTAGAACACATTGTATTTTTGTTCATTGATAAATATTTTTTTTCCTTCAACAAAATGCCAACATTTACTGAAAATAAGGTAGACCCACCTCAAATTTGTAATCAAGTTTCCCAAAATAATCAACTAAAAGAAGATCTCTTGTTAACATTAATGCATAAAAAAACAAAAACACTTTCCTAATACACTAGAGTTTTGAAATGTATTAAAAGTAAACCTGGAAAACTATTCCAGCAAGAAGAGGCTTCCAATTCTCTGCAACAAGTGAGGCTTCTATTGACGTTTCTGTACAAATTTTTCTCCACAGCTCCGCATAAAAAAAATTAAGACAACGTAAAAAATCACAAATCAAGCCAAACCCAAAAAAAAAAAAAAAAAAAAAAAAAAAAAAAAAAAAAAAAAAAAAAAAAAAAAAAAAAAAAAAAAAAAAGAAACCAGGTATAGAGAAATCCATGCAAAGAGAGAAACCTTAGGAGCTTTTGCGGATCAAACGTAAAGGCGCATTTTGGGAATCCGAGGGTTAAAATTTGACAAATTAATTTAATAAAAGTAAAGAGCCAAGAAACTTTGGCACATAAACCATTTATATATGACTTTATTATCTCCTCACAAACCGTTGGAATGAGGAAATTTTGAATTGACTTTTCTTCTTCCTTTTTCTTTTCCCTTTTTTATTTAATTATAAATGACCAAGAATTAAGGATAAAACGGGTATCTTTAATCAAATCTTTAGAAAAAGCAAATTCAAATTCGTTAATTTGAAACTAGAACTGACAAAAAACGGCTCTGGGTTTTGTTTCAGAGATGTTATGCATGTAGCAGTTGGAGAAGAGTTGAGAAAGAAAAAGAAAATAAATTAATCATTTTAATTTCATTAACTGCAATTACGTGTAGAGAAGACGAAGGAGACGAAATAATATTATTAGAATTCAATTTTTTTTAATCATTTTTTTTTTTTTCAAAAATATTCAACATTAAGAAAAAAAGAAAAAATGAAGAAAAAATGATTTTCCCAAATTATTTGACTATGGAAATATTTTACTCTTTCTTACCAAAAATTATTTTTTCACTATAAAAAAAAATTGAGATGGAATGACTGAAATCATTATTTTATGCTTTTAGTGTTGTTCAAGTGTCTATACATGCAAATATGATAATTCACTTCAGTCTCTGGAATTATATTTAAATGCATAATTATATAATCACAAATTCACTTTTTTTTTGTGCTTTTATATCTTAATTTTATTAGAAATAATAATAGGTTTTACTAGTAATTAACGGAAAATAAAATAACATTAAATAATAATACTATATAAAAATAAAGCGAAATTATAATAATTAAACATTTTTAGAACAACGAGTCCCGAACTAAAATAGTAAGTACATTTACTTTTATAATTTAATGCATCATCTCATTTGGCATAGAAGTTTGTATAACAGTATAAATAGTAGTCCGCTATTTTTGTTCTGTTGTTTATTGTCCAGATCAACAGAAACTCCCAGTAATAACTAATATAACTAAGTATATCAGTTAATCAAGTTGTGATCACATTTGTCATTGGATGTGGTCCTTTCAGCATGGTCCCTAAATCCAAACAACCATACGAATTTTACATCTCTTTTCCTTTGTGATAGTCAAAAGGTCACATCTTAGTTAACCCAGAAGAGAGATTGAAAGTAAACAATCAATATGGACATCCCATATACTGCTTGGGGATCATTGGATTGCTTTCTTAACACAATAGCATTTTTTCTGCTTCTTTCCTTTCTTCTTCTTCTGATGTACTCGAAGAATTCAGAGAAGGGATTTTGGAGCCAGAAAATTTACTTGAAAACAGTCAATACTCTTTGGAGTAGGAACTTAAAATAAGTTTGAAAATATTATATAAAAGTAGATACCATTCCCTAAATTAAATATGCACACTTACATTCATGAACAGATAGTATTTCTCTAGTAAATACTGCTTCTATTGTGCAAAAAGAACTCAGCAACCTATACAAGATACAATGCCTCTCAGGCTTCTAGCTACCTTTTTCCATGATCTTGCAGAATTCTATGCTTATTTTCCAGTTTAGATTCCATATTACTAATGGGGGCATTTCATTGCAGGATTTCGCGCATTGCCCACCCAGTCAGAACTGGCTATATATAATATATCTTAATCTGTAACGCACCTGTGTGGTTAATTACAAGACAATTTTCTCATGATACTAGACCTTCCAACTGGAGAAATGAGGGGGCATATGAGACATAATCTTGCAGGAACTTCCCCATCGTTTTCGCATTGGGGGGCCTTTATTCCATCATTTTTCTGAATAACATTGTTTTTCAACGAGAAGTTTTTCCTTCAAACAAGTTCCAGAATCTGAGACTGCATAACTTTTTACTGTCTAGAACTGCTATACAAAGAGAAAAATGCTTGTATAAACTGAAGTGATGAAGTGAACTCAAACTGAATATATCCGTCCTTAAAAGGCGATAAACTGAAGAACAGGATGGTTTTCTTCATCACCTCCTGTGTACAAATATAGAAAGAGAGATGTCATTAGGCAATAATAACTATGAATAGGTAATGAGCAACAATTAGTTGGTGAGCAATAAGATCTTACCGGCGAAATGAGCTAAATTTATCGTTATAGAGCAAGCTACAGTTGAACTCGATTTCTTAACAAGTTTTGACTTGGGTTTTGGCCATAAACCCTGGAGTTTGCAAACCTAAATCCCAACCTCCACAGTCACAAGCTCCACGTGATCTCAAACGTTGGATCAATGATGAAGGTCTCCTTTAATTTGGTAACTATGAAAGCCACTTGGAAGATGACTGTTTGCATTGGACAAAGGCTTTGGATGTTGTCCGACAGGGGTTCCCCAGTTATAGAGTTCAAATCTCATCTCGGACAAAGTCATTGCATTTACCAGTTTGCTGCTGCCCATTATTGGCTGCACATTTCTATTCATGGCTTTTTTGGGGAATCTTGAACAACAATGGCAGCAAGCTCATCATTGGACTGGGAGTCCTAAATGATTGCTGCTCTGCTTGGTTGTAGGTCCCACAGCAAACAAAACAAACATTCTCCTAGCAAATGATTGGCTTCATACAGCGCTCTCTCTAGTCCAATGGGAAAACTGAGGAACCAGAAACCTTCAGTTGAGGCTACAACAATTGGGGTATAAAATTTGACTTGCTTTGCCAGCTTGGTTTATCCATCTCGCCATTCTTTTTTCTTGGATTTCCTTGAATGCGAAGAATGTTGTAAAGATGCATTATAGTCCATCCTCTCTTGAGCTTACTCAACTTCTTCATTGTAGCTGCAAGAATATTAAAACGTTCTTTGTCAACTGGCAAATGTGAAAGAGGCTGGCCATTCTTATTGTTCAACTCGTAGAAGAGCTTTGAAATGCCCTGATGATCCATGCTTCTTCTCCGAGATAAATTATCAACATTGAATCGGCCCTACAACTTGCCATATAAATTTTATTATTCCCTGGCTGTCTTGCTCCAGTTTGAAGAATCTGATTGTCCAGTGGTTGTCCTCATCACTCTATCGGCTGATAAAGAATGTCTTTTGCAAACGAATCTCCAGATTGACGCACAGTTTTGGTGCTTTAGGTTTCAAACAGTGGGTGCCACATAACTTTCTCAGGGGCCTTGACCTGGCTCTCCTTGTAAGCATTTTGTGTATCACTACTTGAAGTAAGCAGTGGGGGAAGAGGAAGCCATTACATTCTCCTAAGCAATTTTTGAAAAGAGTTAGGAGCTGTTACTAGGTTGGGTGGTAGATTGGAACCTCTTTGGAGCCGAAAGTTTTTGCTCAGCTTTGCCCATACCAATGCTAGTCCGGCGAAAGGGTGAAGTGCTTCTTTGGTTTTTCAGCAGCTTGAATTTGGCTTTACGGAAGGCTCCTTTGAAAGTTTGAAGTTCATTAGTTCTGAAGTTGATTTTCTGACTTCTGAAATTCTTAACACGGGAAGGGACTGAATTCCTAGTTTTGGCTGGACGGGGCAGCTGAGTGAGATGAAATCACGGAACAAAATGCTGATACCCTCTGCATTCTGCAGAGCACCATTTTTTTTTTCTTGTGCGTCTTTCATCTCACAGGGAACGTGGACAAGAGTGTGGAAGCACCAGGACTAACTGCCTACAGGGCTAATGTTCCTTAGGCATCTCCGAAAAGCTCCTCGACTTGCTTCTGCCTCGCCTTCCTGGACAACATTGTAATTGACTCAGAAAACTGGAGGTGGATTGCCTTGGGTGCGATTGATGTTTGGCACGGGTTTTCCACTACTTTTTTGCTCTTTTGGAGACTCTTGGTTAAAACAAGCAATATACCTTCTCGTTTCTTGCAATTTATTTGCCTCTCTTTTGTCGATTCTACCCATCTCGTGCATTTGTCTTTACTTTCATTTGTGCCTACAATTCAAAATTTACCTCATTCGAAGCTCCACTTTTTCGGTTGGATCTTTGGCTCTGAATCTTTTCTCTTGCACTGGTCAGCTTGAATTTTCAAGGATGGTTTATCGGAAAATTGTTGATCTCTTCTAATCGAATCTTCCCCCGCTCTTTTACAAATATTAAGTCCCAAAAACCTTTGACATTCTGAACTTTTTGAAATGATTTGGCTTCTTGTGCAATGGAATTTCTACCCGAGATGACATCAGATGACAATTGCAGTGATGGACGATGCATTTGGTGTGAGAGAGGAGCTCTGATCTCTTAATAGAGTTGAAAGAAATCCTTCCATTGAAACGTTGAGGCCTGAATTAGCCACTTGAGAGTGAATGCCTGCTACTTCTTTGAAAATGTCTGTTTTTTTGGCTGCACTGCCACTTCTCCAGACGACCCCAATCAAGGACCCCCACAATTTAAAACCTGCTCCTGGCGGTTTTCCTTCTCTCAGGTATACTTGGCAAAATTTGACATGTACTTGAACAAGCCCTCTTTCTTCAATTGCCTTCCTATGTTGGCTTCAGGAAATTCCCTGAATGTTATCCTTTTATATTCTTTGCAATTTTATGATGGGAAATCCAGTGTATGACACGGTAGGACCAGTCCTGGATTGAAATCTGTCATGCAGAGACAAGCTTTTTGCCTTGCTTTGGTTGTTAAGCAGTCTCAGAAATCCTAAGTGATTCGGCTGGTACTCTCAAATTTTATTTTTTTCCGCCTTGAAATGGTTTCCATAGACCAAATAAATATTTGGACTTCAGCTCAGCACTTACCCTGGCTGTTAGGAACAAATGTTAGTCAAACTGCCACCTATTATTTTTCTCTACAGAGATTTCCAGTGGAAAAAGTCTCTAATGGATCTTTTCAACTTAACAAATATACAGGCCGCTCTGTAGAAAAAAGAAAAAAAATGTAACACAGTATTAAAATTATATACAATAAGCTTGATAAGCATATAAAAGCGGCAGCTAGACAAACAACAAATATGGTTATAGGAGAACGCGAAAAAACTACAATAAAACTAGAGAATCATTAGTGGTTAAAGCTTTTTAATTC